CACAAAAACAGCAAAAAAAAACCTGTGTTTGAGCGTTCTGTTGCCATATTGTTTCTGGATATTTTTCAAATGGAAGCGTGAGCTGGGTGGAGGTCTGAGGAAAAAAAAAAACGCGTTTAAAAATGGGAATTCTGCAGCAGATACTTGTTTTATTACCATAAGGATCATTTTTATATCTTGTTTACATTAATGTAGCAATTTTGTGTTTGTATACAGTATTGTTTTGTTACCGACAGACATTAGGAAAAAAGGTTACTTGAAAATGACTCGTTGCATATTAAAGGGAGTTTTATCTTGTTTTTTTTGGTCCTCTCTGGTCCGACGTTGTGTGAATAATGTTTTCATCCGGCTTTTTCCCGCCTTCTGCACATTGTAGACACTTTAAAAGAAGCTGTCCAGGTTTTTGGTTTCACCACTAAAGCTGAATGTTGAGGACAAAACATGGAGCTCAAGTCTGGCTTTTTCTGTCTCCACCCACCTGTCTACAGCATTTTAATGCAGTAACACTCGGTAAAAAGCAGGTTCACAGTCCCGTTTTCCGTTGTTTCTCCTTTTATATCCGGTTCTAGACGCTTAGGGAAGAGCACAGATGAGCTAACAAACCGCCACTTTTAGCTAAAGGTTCACAGATAATCCGGAAAATGGCTGAAGCCTAATCCCACTTTTGGTTTTTAGGGTTTTGCTTCTGTAGACGGCCTGTAAAGCCCTTAATCCTGGATGGAAAATAATAGACTAAATCAGGTCTTTAACAGGGGGTCTGCGCCCCCTAGGGGCTCCTGGAGGTACTGCATGGGGGTCAAGAAAGTTTTGGTTCTACTTTTTCTTATATATTTCCCCCCTGTCAATTTTCCCACTAATATAAATTTCTTTAAATCCACATGAACATGAGTCCAACAGACTATCTTATGTAGGAGTTATTTTCCTTTATGGGTAAGTCTTCCCGTGTTTATTTGAATTCCTGCCTTCTCTACCAAAGCCTTAATATTTCTGGATGATGCTCTCAACAGGGGGTCTGCGCCCCCTAGGGGCTCCTGGAGGTACTGCATGGGGGCCGAGAAAGTTTTGGTTAATTAGACTTTATATTCCCCCTGCAAATTTTTTAAATGTGTTTAAATCCACATGAACATGAGTCCAACAGACTGTAGTAAACAGATAAATGGAGGCAGAAGATGTCTTTCAGTTATCAACGCTCACATTCAGCCACACACAGGAGCTCTATCTATCCATCCATCTATCTATCACACAGGAGCTCTTTCAAGCTGGGCCCCGTTTCGTTCCCAACACCTGTCCCACCAACCAGGAACCAGAACCAGATGTTTACAGTAGAAACGGGAAGATATCAACCTGTGGATTATCTGAGGATCTTAGTCCTGAATGCCCAATAACAGAGTACATTTACACACTATAGGACCAGTTTGATACAACACTATTTCAGACAATATATAGAATTAAGAGGTGCATCAGTTTGGGGGTCCTTGGCCTGGAAAACGTTTAAGACTCCTGGACTTAAAGGGTTTTTATGGCTGACTTTAAACCACTTCTTAATTTAAACTTATCATCCTTTAAATCTGGCCTCACGGGGCCTGGACTTGCTGCTGTTTTAGACAATTTGTATGTTTTTTTATTTATTTATTGTGTTTCTATTTATTAATACCTTTTAGTTTTTATTTCCACTCCCAAGTAAAAAAAACAATCTCTTCAGACATTTGAGTCTAACAGACTTTCAGAATTTTTTTTGGTAAGTTGAAAAGGCCCAACGACCCCCAGAGAGCTTCACAGTCCTCCATTCCTTAAAGTTACGTTTATTTATTGAACAATATGACTAAGAAAACAGACAGTATGCGCATTGTTTTATGGTTTTTTATACAAAACGTGGGTCTGGGGGCCGGGTCCGGGTCCGGGCGGGTCTAGTCCATCCTGGCCTTCAGGGTCCGCGTGGTGATCTTGTCTTTCTCACTGGGGAGAAAAGAAGGGATGAGAATCCACCCAAAACCTGCATTTAAAATAACCCCCCCCCCCCCCGTGCACTCACATGACGTGCACGACCACGCCCATTCCCGACACGGCGTCCCGGTCCACGGCGTTCAGCATGGCCTGGGAGATGGTCTCAAACAGGTCCTCCGGCGCCTGAAAAAGCACCAAAGGCTCAAGTCAGCGGCCATTTGGGAGGCCTGGCCACGCCACCTCTTAAGCCACGCCCACTCCCCCCCTCAGAGCTCGTTTACCACCCAGAAAAATGTTAAAACTAAAAGCAGACGGAGTTTTACGGGTAAACAGGAATGAGCTGAATCACATGACCACACAGAGACTCCAGTGATGCATTCAGGCTCCGGTCGGATATCAGAGTATTTATACTAATCTGAATATTTATTACTAATTATATCTGGATAAATTCCATTATCATCTGGTACAAAAAGGCTTCTGTCAGGACACATTTTCACACTAAATCTATGATCTTTTATATTAATTTCTGGCTGTTTATGCATCTTTCCAGCTTCACTTTTGAGTTTATGCTACATTTTAAATGAAACTAACCATCTTTGAGCTGGTTCATAACAGAAACTTCAGTCAGAAACTGAAAACTCAGACAGTCCCCCCACAAATGGAGGAATACTGACCATGTCCGGCTCCCACAGGGACTCGCACATGCCGTACATCTGTTCGGAGCAGGTCCCGCTGACCACGAAGTCCTCCGTCACCATGGGGCAGCCGATCAGGTCCAGGGAGCAGATGAAGGGCTCCAGGTTTTTGGGGTCCAGCCCCGCGATCACCGGCTCGATGTAGTAGGGCCCGAACCTGCAGGGGGAGGGGTCAGTGCTGTGGGAGGGGGGGCCCCAGAGGGGCCAAACCGGGGCCTCAGGGGGGGCAAACCGGGGCCTCAGAGTGGCCAAACCAGAGATTCTGAGGGCCTTAACCGGGGCCTCGGAGGGGCCAAAGCGGGGCCCCAGGGGGACCAAACCGGAGACTCAGAGGGGCCAAAGCGGGGCCTTTGAGGGGCCAGAGAAACGGGGCCTCAGAGGGGCCAAACTGGAGCCACAGAGGGGCCGATCTGGAGACTCTGAGGGGCCAAACTGGGGCCTAAGAGGGGCTGAAGCTTTGGAGCCTCAGAGGGACCAAAGCATGGCCTTAGAGGGGCCCCAGAGGGGCCAAACCAGGGCCTTAGAGGGGCCAAACCGGGGCCTCAGAGGGGCCCAACCGGGGCCTCAGAGGGGCCCAACCGGGGCCTCAGACGGGCCCAACCGGGGCCTCAGAGGGGCCCAACCGGGGCCTCATAGGGGCCAGACCGGAGCCTCAGAGGAGCCAAACCGCTGGGCCTCAGAGGGGCCGAAGTGGGGAACTCACCTGCGCTCGTACAGCAGGTTGGACACCATGCTCATGAAGGTTTTGGGTTTGATCTGCCGGCCCTCCTTCAGCTCGTACAGGTTCAGTCTGAACTTCAGCCTCTGCGCTCTGGACACAAGACAGACGGGAATTACACTCCTCCATCCAGGACAACCAGAGGTCCAGAGACTCAGAGAGGGGTCACTCACACTGTCTGGACATCAGTGGCCAGCCCGGCCAGCCCGATGTACAGCCGGTCCCCCATGGGGAAAACCTTCTGGAAGTCCGTGGTCACCATCTGGGCCTGGATGCCGAACCTCCGGTCCGCTGCTATGGCAACACAGTTCTTCCCCCTCATGGCCATGACGGCCCCCCCGTTATAGGACATAATAGACTGCAGAAAGGGGGAGAAAGTGGAAGTCAGTCAGGGGATGGTTTTATTACCATAACAAGCAGCTGGCTTTCATGTAGGTTGTTTTTATTTTAATTACGTCTTCTAACTTATTATTCTGATGATTAAGAAGAGTTTTTTCCTTTTTCCCTAATGAAAACTAGCTCATCTGTAGTCAGTCCAGGAAGAGAAACAAGCCAACTTGTTAGCTCAGGCTAGCAGGGCTAAAGCTAACTATTCCAGTTACCGGCTATTACAGCTCATCAATCTCCATATTCAGCTATAACTCATTTTATTTCACCATGTAACAGTCAATTATATATATTTTAAGAAGGCGTTTGCATTTCCAAAATGGATAAAGATCTAAAAGCTGGATATTAACTCGCTTGTGACAATTAGCTAAAGACACTAGCTTAGCTTTAGCCGTTTGGCATCCACTCATTTTAGATTCTAACTAATAAAAAAAAAACATGCGTGTTTAATAGAAAATGTGCATTGTTCTTACCATTTTGACTGTGTTCTTAACTACTTCTTCCTATCCGTAAACTTCTGTAAATGTCTGTGATAATACGAACTGCTCCTCGCTTCCCAGAGTGACTACACGATTTAGGAACACAAAGACCACTCAACCTTAGTTTCCCTACGTCATCACGATGCGTCAATCTAATTGGTCAAATGAGAGCAACGGAAGAAATATCCCTGCTTTGATTGGCTGATGAGATTGACGGCACATAGTTTGGTGGAAGTGCGTTAAAGTGAAATTGAGACCGGGATGTTTCTGTTAGATCATGATGGGGAGACGGATTTGAATTGAATGGATAATGACAAAATAACTATTTACTGAGTTTTTTCATTTTGTGGGACAGTTTAGTGAACAACAGTCCACTGTAATGCATTTTCTGTTATCATTTAGCTTTGCTTATCAGTAATCAGAACGGAGAAAAAAGCTGTTAAATAGCGTTTTTCCATCACCATGAACTCCAAATGATAGCTGGAAAAAATAGTTTAAAAAAAATAAACGGTTAAAAAGTCTAACCTACATTAGATCTTCTCTTTTTTATCTGTATGTATTTATATTTTCCAGGTCTTGGAACCGTTTACCACCAGCTATTAAAGACAGAAACGTATTTCCTTTTCAATTCTAAATCAACACTCACTAACTTAAAATACATAACTCTGAATTTAAGCTCCATTTTCTTTTTTCAAAAAGATTTAAGTCTGTCTCATATTTATCTGTAATTTCCTTTCATTTGGCACCTTAATGCTTTAAATTAGATTTAAAAACTCTGATATTTGGGGGAAATATTTGTTTGTTTTCAGACATACTTTTCCATGGTGTTTGTTTCCTCTGTTTCTAACTTTCCTTTTTTGTAAATTCTTCAAATATGGAGTAAAAATACCATCTGAACAAATTCTTCTCTCTCCAGAACAGGAACCAGTTTCCGACTTATGTGCTCAGATGGTAACTAAATCATTATTTTTTTAAATAACCAACATTTTTCAGGCTTTTTAAACCAAGCCACTGTGTTATACTTTAAATGTCCAGTTATTGAAAAACCATCGCGATGTGAAAAAGAAAACAAAATAAACTGATGGGATTCTTGGACCAGGCATGGCAGGGTCAGGTTTTTTTTATAACATAAATGTAAAAGTGCTTCTGTAGAAGCTGTCTGTTTCACACAGGCAAAACAAACCGAGCTGCTCCAGAAAACGAGCTTTTATACCAGATCTCACTTACAGTCAGCCAAAATTACAACCATAAAATACAAACATACACGGGATAAAACAGGTCCTATCACTGTGTAAAAACGGGAAAAAATCTGTACAAAGTCACAACAGAAGGGCATCTACTGTCTGGAAAGAGCTGGAAAAGTTACTTTTAGCTCCAAACATAGCCCCAGTCTGCTGTTGGAGCTAAATTTGGACAGAAAAGCGTCAGGATGGATAATTAAAAATAA